CTCTCTTGACCAATTTGTAGGATGTCTGAGCCAAATAGATCTTTATTAAGGTTAGGTAAAGATGTACAAGGTCGTGAATGATGAATAGTAGTACCACGACGGAATAGGTAGTATGAAGGCTCGGGAAATGGTTGTTTCGCTTGCATGTCTGTCTACATCTAAAGTAGGTGTGCATTTACCCCACCCAAATGGTTTTAATGAGTGCTTTTCATTTGGGGGGGGGGGAGGTTGGGGGATCAGGCCAAGAGAAATGGTTCTTAAAAGCCATTATCAGACATTATGTTCTCCTCTAGATTGAGAACACTGAGGATTGTAGGGGTGGACCTGAGCTTACTGAAAACCCAAATGGAAAAGAATGAGAAGACGAACAAAGCATCTACGTAGATTGCGGGAAAGCTGGATCCCCTAAAGCGTGGGCAGCTTGTCGGGGTTTTTGAACGTTGGAAAGGGTAAGGAAATTGTATTTTCTAACAAATTTTGTGAATCTGCTTCTAATGCGCAATTGTTCGCAACTAAATTGGAATTATTAAATCGTTATTTACATTTAGTCGGTGTGTGAGGGTGGGGGTGGGGGGGGGGAGGGTGAGTCTCCAAGTTTAGCAAAAGTTCTTGAACTTATTTATGTAGAAAACTGAGGTCACCGATGAGCCATTAATACATCAGTAAGGATATCTCTTCTAAATATGTGTCCGAAAAGTAGAAATGAGAAGAACCGATTGCCCGTTCGCGTAGTCTTCATGATTGACATTTGTGGTTGCCTTTACCGTCCCATGTCTATCAGAGCGTCAACATTCCACATGATTAGCTCTCTTTTGTTTAAGAATTCGAATAAGTGAGACTTTCAGATCTCCAGTTAAGCAACTTATCATTTTCTTAAAGGCTAACATGAAGAAACAACCATGACTGGGGGTATTTTTATCATCCATGAGTAAATAGCACCTTCCTCAGAAATTATTCTTCACTCACTATTCTCTTTTGCCTCCTTTTCTAATCGAAGGAGTCTACTTTCAATCCTCCTATCAACACGAACACGTGCCTCGTGATTTGGGGTGATTTGTTCTGTACAACTTCTTCTTGAGGCAACTAAGAAGAGCCACCGACGAAAACAGTGAACAACTAGTCTGGATAGGAGGGGAAGATACTGTGATAATTAAAGATTGGAAGAGAATAGAGACGGCTTTGTGTTAATTTAATTGGGATCAGATCCCCACCCCACTTCCTTTGTGATCTCTGCAAGTAACTAATTGAGCGTCGTTTCAAGATAGAGCAGACACATTTGCCAATATATATGACCTTCAGTAATGGCACTTATTTCTACATTGTTTGATTAAGTTGATGCTTCCCTGATATGTCAATTAAATTATGGCCACTTATAATTAGTCGCATCTGTATTAATGATATCATAAAATTGGTACTTCCATTGAAATATCAAGATGTTTATCTTATAATCACCATATTTCATTTAATTTTGAGAGTTACCGTAATGGATTGGTTTGATTATCATCGTTATTTCTAATTCAACTGAAATTTTTTCCACCTTGACTTCATTGACATGACAAGATTATTTTCTACCCATTAGAAATTCTGTCTAGGATAATTAATAGATAGGTACGATTCATGTCTAGTTATACATAGAAAATACATTTATCTGTAGTATTGTGGGACACGTTATCGCTTTGTGCGTCATCGCATGTCTGCATGCCAGGATTAGGAGTTGCGGCCGTACAACTCTGTGTGCAGCGACCGTACAAACAGTGGCCAATCAGTAGCCTCCGTTTGTTTAACCTAATCCCCCATCCTGATCATGAGTAGCACCCTGCGTGTACACTTTATCCACAATATACTCACTGAATAAGCGTGTACCGTGCCACACGTCTGTTTCCTTTATAGCTGTGATATAGCTGGGCTATAGCTTAGCTGGTTCTGGGAGTCTAGCTAGATGTAGGAGAATCTGTCACAGAGATTTCTGAGTCAGTCAGACTTTACTTGCGTAGCAATCCGCTACAGTATCATACGCAATTTCGCAGCCAGGACTAAGCCTTTCTGGATATATATCATTGGTTAATTTGCATGGAACATCGTAGACGAACGTTTACTGCAATATGGTTCTTTGTTTTGCCCCTTATAGTTTTATGCATTACCGCGGCTAGTAATAATAATTAGCAGTAATATTATTACGATTATTATATCATAAAATTGGTGGATTTGGAAAGCACAACGCTACCACGACTGAACACCCAGACAGACTCAAAGGAGCTCCCGTGCTACTTGTTGCGTAGGCAGCACGTGCGTCATGAGTGCAGACTATTCTCGGCCAACAACTAATCAATATTCGTTACATTCGTTAACGAACTCCTAATTACATTTTAATGACTAATATTTGCGCCAAACAGCCCAAATAAACGCGCTCCACATAGTGCACTGGGGCAGCTTAGCTAATTTCGGGAGCCATTTTATACTAGGGAATTTTGTCATAGAGATGACTGGGGGTAGATCATGACTACTTCAATAGGAAGCGATTTGAATTGGATATTTAAACGAATTAAATAAAGGCAAATTGGGATGTAATCTTGCTTAATGAAAAATACCACGATAGTAGTGAAGACGTGGCAAAGAATCGATACTAAATCGAACACCTGTGAAGTAAGGCAAACAAATCGAAAGAAACACAAATACCTGGCACAGATTGGAGGTGAGTTTATACACATTTTTAGAATTTATAGCGCTATAGGTTTTNGCATGTTTTAGAAAATATAAATATTGCTCTTCCTAATTTCTTTTTCGATCCGAAATTCCATTTTTTTCCTGTCACGTTGTATTCTGAGTTGTTGAAGAGCGTTTTTTGAAGTTTTAAACCAATTTCTACAGAACAACTGCCATGATTATTTGAGAGCCCAAATATACCAGTGATAATACTCCTATTAACCGAACCAATTTACAAGAATTTGATCTAATTAATGAAGTCAAACCAAGTTAAAACGAACTTAAACAGAGAACTGGCCAAACCGATCAAGGAAATAATCGTGTAAATACTCCACCTCAATATTTGTTGACATACTGATTTCTCGGTATGCCCTATTAAAAATGGAACTAATCGGGCAATGGAAACAGATTTTTACTAGCAAATTACTGCCACCAATACGCTATCTGTACCAAAATTAAAAATTGCTCAAATACTTGGTTATTTATTTATTTGGTTAAGGAGCGCTGGTGATTTTCAGTCGTGTTCTCCTTGTCGATACCAATGTATTTTGGCCTTTGAACTTAGTCCTAGACTAACCTGGTAGTGTTGATCTGACGGGGGCTCAGTTCACTATTGCCGATGGCGACCATTCATTAATGTTGCAAATCCTTGAGATCGGTTCGAGGAAGGCAGGAGATCATATATTGAATATGGACTGTTTAGCTGTTTGTTTAGCCAGTATTATATTTGTATTGAGGGGTGTTCGATAAACTTACCTCCACGTGGTGCACCCTGGGCAACGTATACTCATACGGCAAAAAGTCTATAAACCGGCAGTTGACTTCAGACTCCAAACTACCATCACCCCACTGTATGTCATTTTCGACTTCTTCAATCGTACTCACCTCACCTTTTTTCCAACTTTGTGTCTGTCTCTTTAACATCTTTGAAACACTCTTTTGTCCCCCCCCCCATCTCGACCTTTTACACTTTGATGTTCCTTCCCCTCTCTGTGAAGCCTGAAGTCAACTAAAGGGCTAATGATAACTATCAAAACGCCTGCCATTTGATATAAATAAATATTTGTATTGAGATCTACTCCAAATGGGGACACAAACGTCACCGCTGAACAATTAATCTCATGGCGCCCAGACAGGCTTGAAGTAGCGGTTGTGAGTCCAGAGAACACACTGCCAACTGCCAATCAAAAGTCCTTACTTGGTTTGCCGAATCCGCCTTATTATTGTAATGACTAATCTCCTTGTTTGTACACACACCCACTCACTTACACTCCAGGTGATACGTCTATTTCCTCTAAAGCTTTGCAGTAGCTTAACTAGTTATGGGAGTCCTCCCAAACATAGAATCTGCCATAGGGATTACTGAGTCTAGTCAAGACTTATTAGCGTCGTAGCCCGCAACAAGTTCTATTAAGCATTTGATTTTAAAACAGTTGAATCTAAACTATTAAAGTCTGGGATTGTTCGTCTAAAGTTTAAGAAAATACATTCACTAAAAGTACTTATTCCACACAAATAATTATATGTATTAATTAACCCAATTTCTCAATGTATGAAAAATTATTTAGTTAAAACTTCACTAATTTTCATGCAAATTGACAAAAATTTCTATCACTCTTTTTCACCTTGTATTTGAATTTCATTGTGTTTTTTTTCAATTATATATTCGTTTTTACAATATCCATATGATTGAAACCCATTTGAAGACCGACTCAATCACTTTCGTGCTTTAGAGAACATTCCATTCGAAATGAATCACGCAAAATTCGATGCTGGACTTCGTGGGTACCAATGCTAAAGTGCGCTTTTGCTAAAAAGTCAGATTAAAAGAAAGAATCAATTTGTCTTCCGCCCTCTCGACTTTTGGTCACTTTGATGTTCCTCCTCCCCTCTATGAAGACCGAAGTCATCTGCTAGCCATTTGAAATAAATAAGTTCACTCATGGTACCTTTGTGCAATCTACAGATTCCCATTTATTTTTGTCAATAATTGACATTCCCACTTCTCGATGTCTTTGCCCACTTAAAGTTTCCAATGCTCCTTTCTATCATCAGAAACAGCGCTATGGAATATCCTCAAGTGAACTGGCGTTTAATTTTTTTAACCAATAATAATTGATCATTTCGAGATTATTCAAATTACAGGAGAAGCCCAAAACTGGTGTGCGGTGCATCGGTGCCTTTGCTAATCGTTCAGTAAATCACATTGATGGCCACAGATTGCTGGTTAGAATTCCACCCCTCCCCCAAAATTCCGTTTTCCTACAGCGCATACTTCAGGTCCCATTTTACTGATCTTCCTTTTAAAAATATCGAAAAGAAATAATTATCATAATTTGTTGCCAATATACAAAAGAAATCACAATAAACTTTATACAGTAATAAGGATAAACAGATATTGGTCACACTGAAGGAAGGAGAATCTCACTTGTGATTATTCCGAAAATGAGGTACCCTGCTCACTGGATGGCATATCGAGGATCATTTTCTTGAATTCTAAGAAAGCACCAAATTTAATGGAAATACGGCAAAATAGAAACTTCGTGTGATTGTTTACTTAATGCATTTAAGTAGATCATATACGTACCATCAAAAGTAACTCGTCCATCCCCATCTCTGTCGGCTTCAGCAAGAATATCTGCAGCTTCGCTACCTTAAATCCAACAAAAAGCGTATACATCGGTTTCCTGATATACTGACTTAAGGGGTGTGCGGAAGACTTATTTCTACGTGGTGTACCCCGGGCAACGTATACTCTACCTTTGGGTCTGTCTATCTCTTTTGCATCTGCGAATCACTCTTCTTTCCTCCTCCCATTCCTCCAATTTTTGTAACTTTGACATTCCTCCCCAACCTTGAAGCCAGAAGTCAACAAATGAGCTAATGATAACCATCCTAAAGCCTGCCATTTGATATATGTAAATATACTCGATTATGCCCTGAGTGGAAAGCGTTCTTCATTATAATAAAACAAATGAGGCTAACAAATCAAAGGAATTCTAAATTGATCCATACTTAGTGACTTTCAATCTCATTTACTCAACTAGATAGAATAAAGTCATACATCCAATGTGTTGATACATTTAACTAAAGCTTTATTTTAAAATGCACTGATCTATAGTGTTACCAGCAATTGAAACCGGAAGTTCGATTATAGTCAACTTGGACAATGAGCGAGTTAATTGACCTAAAGTTTAACCCTTCCCATATGGCTTCTGCCTTAAGTGCATTCCTATTTGCCTCAATTTAACTTATTCATTAAGAGACAGTGTC